CTACAACTGATGCATCAACCAGGATAACCACCTTGGGGAGGACCCCTGGTCCTCCCTAGGGGACTCCTTGAATAGGAATTATTTCATAGCAGGTGGCCAACAGACCATTAATAGACAGTCAGGCCCTGGCTCCTTCCCTTGATATGTGTGTGTGTGTGTGTGTGTGTGTGTGTGTGTGTGTGTGTGTGTGTGTGTGTGTGTTGGGGGAGGGTTTGGAAATGCTCACTGCCCCATCATCCCCAGGGCTAGAACTGGCTACTCTACTGCTCTGCCAGCCACAGCCTCACTACCATAGAGACAGACTACACCCCTGCCTGTGTGGGTGACAGCACTCTTTGAGAACGTCTTGACAGTGCCTTTGTTCCACAGAAATAAAAGAAAATCGAGCTACAAAGGGAAACCTCAGGTAGCTTTTAGCAGGGCTCAGCTGCCTGGGGCAGAGTGTGTTTAAGCTGGAGGCACTTGTCACTGGAGCTTGAGGGGAGTGCCTCAGACCCCGCCCAGTCCCTATGTGGTAAAAGGGGTGGGAGGCTGGAAGTCCCAAGATCACGTTTACTTAAGAAAAAAGCTCTATCGAATAATGGCAGAGGAGAAAAAAAATCAATGAAAATTGATAGAGAAATGTAAAACAGGGCTTTCTCTCTCTCTCTCTCTCTCTCTCTCTCTCTCTCTCTCTCTCTCTCTCTCTCTCTCTCTCTCTCTCTCTCTCTCTCTCTCTCTCTCTCTCTCTCTCTGTGTGTGTGTAGGGAGAGAGAGAGAGAGAGAGAGAGAGAGAGAGAGAGAGAGAAGCATTTGCCACAGCTCCACAGCCAAAACTGACCTGCTTGGGCTCCAGGCCCAGGAAGGTGGGGGCTGGGAGTCAATCCCTGGCACGTGCCTGCAGGAGCAGGCTGGTGGTTGGGGGGAGGGGTGGCAGCTGAGTCTCTAACTCGAGTTAAGAGAGAGATTAATATATTCAATCTGCTCCAGGGTAATTGAGGGAACAATTGGAGTGTTTTTCTAAAGCCCATAAAACTGCCTCATTTGCAAGGAAGAGCTGCCTAGCTGCAGTCCGCAGATTTGATGGAGGCAAAAGAGGCAGAGAACGGACAGCTTTGGGATCCCAGTACTCAGCAGCTACATCAGCCAGGGCAAGGGCCTGGCAGTCCAATTCTAACCTGCTCTCGATTGGTGCACCTTCCATCCCTTCCTTTTTGTAGTTCCAGCATTATTTTCCCAGACCCATCTTCCAACCTGTGAAATGGGTCACAGCATTCTTCTCTTCCAGTACTGTGGCAAGTGGATGCTTTGAAAGACTGGGGAAGTGGGCTGGCACTGAGGGACAGGGGCATGAACAAAGGGTGCCCAGGTCTCCCTCCCTACCCCTCCAGGCCAGCCCCCTGAGAGTGAATGGGCAGTAAAGAGTGGAGTTAATGAAATCCACATTGTGTGCCACTCCCGCTTGAGCCGCTCCAGTCTCCAGGGCAATGGGAATAGCACATGAAATAGCAAGCAATAAAAGGCATAATGAATTTAAAAGCAGCTAGGAGAGGGAGAATGAAGACTGGCAGGGCTCTGGCCTGAAGCTGGAGGATTCCTGGGGTAGCGAAAGTGCTGGCCTGCAGCTTTAGCCAGAGTCAGGACTAGGAACAAACAGGCTGAATGGGGGTGGGGAGAGGGAGGGAACAAAGGGAGAGAACAGCGACTCCACCGAGGTGTAAGGACTGAGGGTAGAGGTGAGGTTAGCAAGCCACTCAGCTCACTCCGTGGCTGCTCGGTTCTCCTCCACTTCTTCTTAATAAAAAGCCCCCAGCTTGTTTCGTGCCAGAGCCATAGTCAGAATCCACAGGCTTAGAGCCAGGTCCTTTCCATTGGGTGATTGCTTTATTAGCTTTCTGCTTTCTTACTTTCCCTGTTCCTCTGGGGCAAAATAATAATAATAATAATAAAATAAAATAAAAAGGTGTTTTAAATGGAAGAAATAAAAAAAAATTGAAAGCGCCTTTTAAAAGTCTCCAGGGAAACAGAATCATTTCCATGTAACAAAACTGCGATTGTTTGGGAGAGGTGACTGCGGGCAGGGCTCCCACCACACCCTCCTCCCTCTTCCTGGGGAACTACAGGAGGAAATTGAGGTTTGCAATGGCAGGAATCCCCAAGGTGGCCCCCAGAGCCAGAGCAAGGAATTAAACTCTTGTTTCCAGAAACTCTATCCCTGGGAATTTCCAGCCCAAAGTTTCCGTCTTCAACAGCCCAGCCTATGTGAAGATGAGTGGCCTTTGAGGGCATAATGGCTCAGGACCTTCCCTTCCCTGTACCACCCCACCGAGAGGCATGATTTTTGGGAGTTGGTCAGAGCTCAGACTTGCCTGCACTTTCTACTTCCTACCCTGCAGAGTCCCCTCTGCCTACCAAACCATGCACCTCCTTTCTGACCATGTCCCTTCTTCTGGGCAAGGGCAGGTGATTAGTCATATGATCTCAAAGCTGCCAGGAGGTGAATGCAGGTGTACCAGGTGCGGGTAGACTTCTAAGGAAGGCTCTGTGCCTTGGGGGAAGGTGACAGTGGCTGCAGGGAACCTGGTAGTTTCTGCCTGTGTGCTCCCCTAGGGTCCTCCTTTGTGAGTCAGGACACCCATGAGCGACCTCCACCCTCAATCCCTGGCTGTCCATATTGGAAACATTCATGGGGACAGTTCCTGCTAACCGCCCCCACCTCCAGGAAAATATTAGCTCAGAGCAACTGCCCTTTAGAACCAACTAACCGGTGCATCATGGCCAGGGAGCAAAAGGATTCAGACTCAGTCAGCAGACATTCATGCTGAGCCCTGGTCCTAGTCACTCACTGAGCCCTGTCCCTGCAACCCACTTTGATGCCTGCCTGACCCCACTCCATGGCCTGCATCTGTACTGGCTTGGAAAAATGGCACACACTATGTAAAGCAAAAAACACTTGTGAAACTGAAATTCTAAACTGAATAGATTGTTGAGACACCTGGTGCCAGCAGGGCTGACAATAGCTCGGAAGGAGTGACATCTATGCTGGGAAGGCTTCCTAGAGGAAATGGCTTTGAATTGAAGCTTCTGTTTCTGGAGCCCAAAAATCTGTCCCTGGACTCGAACTAGCTTTTGTTGAAGTTGTGCTGGAAGCCCCAAATGAAATTCTCTTTTGTTCCTTCTATTCATCCTAGTCACTGCCTACCTTTCTCCAGTTCCCTTTCTCCTCTTCTTCAGTTGTCAACCAAAGAGCCAGGGGAAGTCCCCCTCTCCTGGGTAAAAAAACCCTTCCGTATGAAATCCTCTTATCTGGATGTCCTTGTCCCTATCCAGAGAGATAATATGGCTATGAGGGACCCTATGGTTCTAGGCCACAGGTTCAAAGAAGTTCTGGGCCCCACTAGCCTTTTGTGCTCTGCCTAGACCTCTAAGTGGCAATGGAGACAGGAGCCTGCCTTCTTTAGGCTGAGCTTCAGGACTGAGTCTGTCTAACTGCAAGCATGCCCCCTATTCACAAGGAGCCCTTCCATTGTCTGTGGGCTCTGGCATTGTCATCAGGGCTGCGATTGCTGACCCCCCACCCCCACCCAAGGGGAGCGATTTTCCTCTCCCTTGAAAGCTATTTTCTTGTCTTGGTAGAAGCAGACATCTGACACTTTAAGAGGGAGTGTGGCGCAGAGATGATGGCTTTAAATAACAGAAATTAGAGCTGCTGAGGTCGAGGCAGTCATCTCGTCATCCCCCTCCCCCCAGCAGTCCCAACCTCTTTCACCCCCAATTTACAGCAGCGTGGCATCGTGAATGCATTATCCGTGTGGCTCAGGCTCTCCAGGCCATGCTGGGACCCAAAGAGCAGAGACAGTTTGTTCCTAGGTTCTGATCCTCCTCTCTAGATAACACTGTTAGACGGAGGGACAGGGCCCAGGTTCTGGACACAGGGAGCTTTCAGACTCACCCAGGCTTACCCAATCTCATTTCACAACAGAACAGAATGGAGCTGTACACAGAGGGTCAGACAGGTGTGTTAATTGATCCAGAAATGAATGGACAAAGGTTGTAGTGGACCATGTTAGTAGGCCAGGAGGCCTGGGCAAGAGCAGCTGTTCCTAGGTCCCTGTCTTATGCTGCCTGCTAACTTTACCTAAAATCCCTTCCTTACAGACCCCCTCCTGTGCCTCCTTGTACTCACCTCTGCTCTTTGCCACGGTAACTTCAGTTCCTCCCACTCCTTTCCCATTGCAACTCTCCGCAACCAACTCAGTCTACCTCCCTGGCTCTACTTAGTGCCACCCTAGAGTGTATGCATGTGCAAGAGAGAGAGAGAAAGACAGAGACAGAGAAAGACAGAGACAGAGACAGAGACAGAGAGACAGGGAGGGAGGGAGGGAGAGAGAGAGAGAGAGAGAGAGAGAGAGAGAGAGAGAGAGAGAGAGAGAGAGAAAGATCAGGAGACCTGTGCCCTTTGAGTGCCACCCCAGGTTGTCCCTTTGCTTTGCAGCTAGCTGAACCATCTCCCTCTCTTTGCTAGCTTAATCTAGACCTCATTCCTGGAACCTTCTCTCCTAAGCCTAAAATTGCCACCCCTAACCCTCACCCACCTTGTGTGGCTCTGACACAGCCAAATATGGGATGGAGGAGTAAGTAGATAAGCGAGTGGGGAAGGAATAGAAGACTCCTCTCAAATGACACATCCGAGAAAGGCTTTCCTGGACTCACACTCCCTCTCCAGAGCATTCCTGCCAGCCTTGAGGATCATGTGCGATACCCATACTGTATCCAACTGTATTGTATCTAGTGACACTCTGTGCTTAGGGGCTGACCAAGACTTGGATTCCACAGACTACTGTGTTCTGAGACTCCCAGTAAATGTTGAGATTTGGTGGAATCCAGAATCCTGGGAGTGTTTTCTCCACCTGTGAAATGAACTGCTGCTTACTCCGTGAATTCTCAACTGAACATGATGCTTGGATGCAGAACATGGCCATAGTGGGAGACCTCCCACAAAAGGACGAGCACCTCTCAACCTGAGCCTGATGCTGCCAGGGTCCTGTTCCCAGCTAAGCCCTTCTTGGTCACTGTTGGAGCTGGATGGGCTCACAGAAAGGCCTTGTCACTCAGACCTCCCTCAAAGTCTGCTGAGACTGTAGGAGACTGAGGCTGGGGACTGTAAGGCTGTAGACATCCAGTTTTATCAGAGGACGCGTCCTGAGCAGGGACCCGGGAGTACCCACCTGTAGCTCTGGATGCAGTGACATTAGTTCTGGCTGGCTGGGCTCCACAAGACAGTTTGAGACAGAGGGTCCAGAGGCTCGGTGTACATGGAAGGCTACACTGTAGGTCAGGCCCCCGCAGTGGCGGGCTGTGGGGTCCTCGCTAGCTCGGAGAAGAGCCAGGTTGCCACAGTATCGATACAGGTCCTCATGCTCCTGTGCTGTGAGATTCATTCGGGGCTCATCTGGGCGTGGGTAGATGGGGAACATAGCCTCACCCACCCTCTGGGCTGCCTGTCCTGAGGGTCCGTCCAGCCTCAGTGCCTCTATGTGCAGATGTGCATCATTCTGCCCGTCATTCTTGCAGAACCCTGGGTGGAGAACATGGGTTTGAATGTGGTCTCCGGGGTTTCCTTTCCCTTCCTCCACTCTGGGCAGAGAACATGGGTTTGAATGTGGCCCCCAGGGTCTCTCTATCTCTCTCTTCCAGGGAACAAGAAGAGCATTCAGGGCACTGGGGTAACTTGAGCTAAACCCAAGTGTGCTGGGCTAAGATTCCTCTTGTGTTTGAGACCTGAGAGGCCTTTACTTCTGTCTCATGTGAGCCCACCAGAGTGAGGAAAGAAAGGCTTACAGACTTTGGGAGTCACTCTCAGTCCCGACACCACTCAGGACCAGGGAAGAGTTTGGAAAGTCCCTGATTTCTGGCCAACCATAGTCTTGGATTTCTACCAGGAAGCCTACCTGGATAGCTCTCATTCTAAGCCAGAATCTTCTAAGTCACTTAGCTATTTTTGACTCAGAATTCCTGCTTCTTTGTACCCATTCTCTACAGAAGGCAAGACCAGGGTCTCCTATCCATCCATGTCTGTCTATTCTCCATTTCTATAACCAACGGGTGCTTAGGGGACTTCTCATATTATTCCATGTAATGCCCACTGCTTAAGACTGGCTCTAAATGTGCTTTGGGCTTGTTTCTCTCAAATCCATGCCTCCCCTTTAGTTCTTCTTCACCATTGTCCCCTGTGAGAACAGTGTCAGCCTCCCCATGTTACACTGAACGAAGCAGGGGCTTTTACAGGGCCAGCATTTGCCAAGGGTCGCACAGTCACACAGGCAGAGCTTAGAAGTCCATCTAGAAGTCTAGTACACTGCCTAAGGCTCTCCCAGTTCCCTTGGAGTTCTCCAAGGTTCTGACAAGGTCTAGGGCAGAAGTCCCAAGGACCCTCCATCCCCCCAACCCCTGACTCCTCTTTGTACCTTTGGGCAAAGTAAAGATAAACTTGTTCCTGGTGAAGGTGAGGCTCTGCCCAGGATTCTGCTGCTCAATGACCTCAGTGACAGCAGAGCAGGCTGGCAGGGGTTCCCCATCATTGACCTGCAACTGCACTCCAGCCCCGGAGCCTGCTTGCAATGGATTCTCAGCTGACAGCCTCAGGGCATATCTGCCCTCCTCATTAAATCCCACACTCAGAACTTCAAACTCCAGGTCCAGTGTCATCTCTTCTGCCTTCAGCCTCTGGCTCATCAGGGATGCAGGGAGGTGGAGATCAGGACCTCTGAAGGCCATGGCTCCGGCCGGGTCAGAAGTCCAGGCAGAGCTCTGTCCTCTCCTTCTCACAGTCCCTTTCCAGTCTGAAAGCAGACACATTGGCATTGGGAGCCATACCTCACCCTTCTCTGTTTGTTTGAGAAGGATCCAGGCAACAAGCCAGGAAACTGAGCCCGAACTAGGGAACAAAAGCAGCAACTAATTCTTCCCATTTAGCATTTGATCTTCCAGCAAATATTTATTGAGAACCTACTGTATCTGAGGCACTGATTTAGGCCAAACACACATTTCTGCCGCCCCCCCCCAAACCTGGCTGTCTTCTAGTGAAGGCAGCAGGTAGAGAAGACAAAGATAAACGTGAAACATGGAAACAAATGATAAGGGCCAGGAAGCTATCTCAGTCAGTAAATTACTTGCTGTATGTGCATGAGAAACCTATGTTTGATTCCCAGAACCCATGTAAGCTGGGAATGGTGATGCATGCCTAACATCTCAGCCTGGGAAGGTCTAGACAGGCAGATCCTGGAGCTGGCCTGTCTCCAGAAGAATCAGTGAGTTCCTGTCTCAAAAAAGTAAAAGGTTCCTGAGGAATAACGCCCAAGGTTGACGGCTGTCCTCTACATGTGTACTCATAAACATATATACTCTTGAGCCTATATACACAGTATATGCACAAACAGACACACACACACACACACACACACACACACATACACACACTACCTCAAATTCTCTAGTATGTGAAGAGATGATACATTCTATGCATTCTATTAAAAAAAAAAAAGAAGGGCACATGGGTTTGTGGTATTCAGAACTCTATATTTCTTGTGAGCATGTCTCTACCTGAGAGCCCTTAGTGTGGATGTGGGAAGGCCTCCAGGGCAAAGGGAGTGTCCAATCAGTACATGTTTCTACAGTCAGCTTACTTTAATCAAGACACACACCTTCACTTTACAGAGAGAACTTGGTCTCTCACACCAAGGTTGTCAATCAGGAATCTGTGCTACCTGGTCCTTGGTTTCAATGGCAATCAGAGGATCCTAGACACTCCTCAATAAAGAGGAAATCTACTGTCACCACTACTATCTCACCACCATCACCACCACCACCATCACCATCACCATCACCATCACCACCATCACCATCATCACCATCACCACCATCACCATCACCACCACCACCATC